TTTTTTTTTTTTTTTTTTTTTTTTTTTTTTTTTTTTTTTTCTTGCGCAGGGGCCATGCTACTCTTCTCTGTATCGTTCCAATTTTAACGGATGTCCCGAAGGAAGGGGAGTTTTCTTTAAGAAAGTACTCCCTTGGAATTCAGTCTGACAACTTTCGGAGAATGCCTTGTTTCGAAAGGCTGTGTGGAGAGCCCCTATAGCAGATTGTGAATTCGTTCAACTAAAAAAAAACAAAAAACAAAATGCCCCTTGCACATTGCAACAAGGACCGGGGACCTGGCTTTCAACCACGAAGGGCGCCCTTCGTGGTTGAAAGCCAGGTCCACTGCGCGCCCTTGACTGGGTCATACAGGCTTCACCTAACCCGATCCCCATGAACATCTTCAGGGTGTCACACATCACACATGAAGGGGCGCAGCTGCACGCATACGAACAGGACGTGCCAGGAGCAAGGTGGGCCGCCCTGAAAAGGAACCAGCTATTGGATTGCACAGTCCCAGAATTTGAACTGATCAGAATCAGAGTCGTGGGATCAGCAGACACAGGTTACTATGCATATGAGATGTCCAGCCCGGTCGGTGACCTGCCTTTTGACCCGCAAGAGTGGGAACGGAACGGTCGCAACCCCATACCGATATGGCAGTACTCAGTCAAAGAGGGTTACAAGCGGGCTCACGCCCTCCACCCCTCTACAACGGTAGTTAAGAGTAGGTGGAAGAGAGACTCTCCGGTGTCTGAGCACAACCTGCGCCACATCCCATGGACTATGTATGCCCATATTATGCCCACCTCCCATAGAGCCCTTCAATGACAAATAACCCATCGATGCCTTCCGACACCGACCTGGGTAACAATGAGATCAAACTTGGAGCAGAAGGGAGTCCTATCCCTCATCTGCGCCCACCGTGGACTTGGCTTTCAACCACGAAGGGCGGATCTGGAGCACTGCCTCCTCGACTACCCAATGGCAAGGAGAGTATGGCAATGGTGGGATGCGATGTGGCACATGCTCACGGGCGAGGTGTCCCACTGGGACGTAGCTCTTATCTTATTAGGTAAGTGCAAGAACATTCCCCTAGCATGGACACCCTTTCAGTGCAACCTGTTCAAACACATGAGGTTGGCAGTCCTCATGGTTATCTGGCGTGACAGGTGCTCAGAGGAAAGGCAAGAGGCGGTCTTTGGCCTCTATCAAGTCAAGGCGGAATTAGTAGAATGGGATTTTGACCTGGAAAAACTGGGCCGCTCAGGACAATCAGTGGTCATACCGGAGGGCGGATTGCTCCACTATACCTCTACCGGGCCAAACAAGGAACGCGTTGGCAGTACTCAATCTGGTCACTGTCCAGGACCATCACATACAAAATGGGCTAGCTCCCAACCTCGACAGGTGGCACAATCCCCTCCCAACCCCACGCAAATGTCGCCACCCATGTCGTCCGTCTCCCCCCCCCCCCCCCCCCCCCCCCCCCCCCCGCTGCCGTCGAGCCCTCCTCCTATCACCCTTCCACCACCCTCACCCTGCTCGCAGAACCCTCCTCTGCCATCCTCTTCCCCCTCTCCCCCTGCACCTTTGCCCCCACTTGGCCGCCCGACCCCAATACCCTCTTACCATCCTCCCCTCCCCTTGGCCTCCTTCCCTGCCCAGTACACAGGACCGGGCCAGCCGGTTTGAGCACACATCAGCAGATGATCCCACTGTACAAGGATGGGCCAGCAACAACTACAAGACATCTCAAGGCTGACACTGGTTTTCTTGGACAAAAGCAGCAACACAGCAGGTCATGGGTTCGTACGATCTGAGCATACAGACAGCCTGCAGACCCACTGGTTGAAGGAAAGGACATCAGGCGATGATGGGTTGTAAATAGTCGACCAAAAAAGCCACGACAATAACAGCATCCTGCCTTAACGAAAGGGAGGTCTGCCTTTACTATCTCTCACCACAGGTTGGCATGGCATGTGGGCGTCTGGCCTAGAAGGCTCTGTAGTTCTACCTGCCAAAATTCCCTTTTGTAGATCAGCCCGATAGCCTGTTGATGTCACAAATGCAGGCTGCCTCCTCTAGGTGCAGTCACGATACAGGTCCATTACATTACTTACCACTGGCTGTAAGGTAGGTTAGCAACACAAAATATTGTGTTAGTCATGCTGGCAGAACCTCTTCCTGAGTAAGTGAAGTAGGTAGTTTACCGGCATCATAATGATTGTCATTACAAATACATGTTGTTTTCTAGCTGCAGTACTGACACTGGAGCATACCATCTCTCGCCAATGTCTGTCAAATAGGCAGGCTGCTCAGGCCACTGCGTACCTCTGCTTGGCGAACCTCACTCAGAAAGGTAAGCACGGTAGCTAGGTAGCTTGCTAGCTTGTTGTTGTCACATCTGCATGTTTGGTTGCATGAGTAAGTTCAATGTTCAGGGACGCTGGACCCGATTTCCAGCAGGTGCTGCTCCCCACCAATAGATGGAGCCTCCCCGGCAAAGCTAGCGGTGTCTGCTCTTACCAACACCCCTAGCCTCTGTTGGGCTGTTCTTCAAAAAAAAAAAAGTTCAAAGCCTGAAAGCTTCACCACCTTTGAAAATAAAATTGCCTGGTCTGCGGCACATGCATTCAACGATTTTTCAGAAGAGATGAGTATATGTCCCCCAGATTGGGTCCTTTTTCTTTTCAAAAGCAGCGAAAGAGAATTTTTTCGAGGCGTTGGATTTTGTCAAAACGAACACAGAGCGGCACACCACATTTAATGAATGCAGGAGCAAAGGCCCACCACTGGGCTTGTGCGATGACAAGGCTCACCAAAAGGGGAAAAAAATAGTTTGTCAAGAAGAACAAAGATTGAGCTTCTGCACTAACAACATACGATTTCTATAAGGAGCTCTTCTCCTCACACTTGGACAAGTCAGATCCCCCACATCACAACCGTCTAATTCAGGAATTCCTGGAACCGCTCAATAAGACTTTGGCGATTGAACAACGGGAAGCACTAGAAGCCCCGCTCTCCAAGGACGAAATATGGTCCGCCCTTCTACAAATGAAGGAGGATAAGGCCCCCGGGATAGATGGCTTCCCCAAAGAATTTTGGGAAACCACCTGGGAATTTATGAGTCAGGATATTATGGACTTCTACAGCGAAGTATGACTCACAGGGGAAATGGGAGAAAGGGTGGGGCAAGGGATACTAACCCTCCTGTATAAAAAAGGAGATAAAATGGACATCAGGAATTATCGTCCCATAACATTGCTTACAGTCGTCTATAAAATGTTGTCAAAGGCCTTGGCAAACAGAATGATCCCAGTAATGGAGGATGTCATCCATCCGGATCAAACCGGCTTCATGCAGAACAGGAACATTCAGGAGAATATCCTACTAATACATGAGATCCTCCAACTTACGAAGCAATCTCGTCAGAATCCGGCCCTCATATTCATCAACTTCGAAAAGGCCTACGACCATGTGGACTGGACGTTTCTGGACAAATGCCTCGAGAAGATGAACTTTGGGCTAGGCTTCAGACGTTGGATACAAATTCTGCATCAAAATGCCACCACGTGTCCAGATCAACGGGAGTCTTGCGCCACCCTTACGCCTGGAACGTCAGTCAGACAAGGGGACCCTATCGCCCCTTTCCTGTTTTTGGTCATAATGGAAGCACTGGCCGCCAATCTTCGGGAAAATAAAAACATAACCAAACTACGAGTTACACGAATCCCGGAGGAAGTGGTCCCGGTGTGCTCCCTTTTCGTAGATGACCTAACAATTATTGCAGAAGCCACACACCACAACATGGAGGAAATTCAACATATGATGGAAAAATTTACTAAGGTTTCCGACATGTCGGTCAACTGGGGATCCAAAACACAAGGCTGGTGGATCCATTACCAAGGAGGACGTCCCCCAGAAGCCCCACGCATAACCTGGGTGCCACTGGAGGCACCCATAAAGATCTTGGGGGT